ATGTTTCAATATACTCGCTTCATCCAACTCTGTTTCACAAACTAATGGAAATGCACGTGGAAGATGGTAAAAATTGCACAGCCATTAACGCTGTGTTGGCATGCCATATGTGTATAAATGACTTGTAAATGATAAAGTCGTGTATTTTATATTCATAATGGTGAATGTTTTCTGTCTCCATTCCCCATACTTTTTTTTTTTGACTGAATAGAGACAAAAAAACAGTAGGCTTTCCACCATCTCAGATCTCAACTCTCTTCTGGTCAAACAACCCATTCATTCATTGAACACGGCTATTTAAGTGGCCATTTCCTGCTATGCCAAGTAACTGAAGCATCCCTGTTATAAAATTATTGAGTCCCTCTATTCCTTCCTCTCCCACAATCAGCTCCTTCAAAACTGTAACAGCAGGTTCAAGAACACTACATTCTCATAATTACAGTAATGTCTATAATAATAACAACAATGTTAGCAGTAAGAACGAATAAAGTTGTTAATAATAATAAATCTAAATGTGGAATTTATTAAGAGCTTGTTAACTCAAGAGTCAAATAATTGTGAGTTTTTGGATCGGTGCATGGAGATTATTATGATGAGCACAGTAAAATTCTTAGATAGAGAGTAAACTTGCATTCACAGTGGGCCCATTTGGCTAGCTTTTGAAAATCCATAAAGAGCTTTTGACAACAAAAAACTTTTTGAAAAGGCCAAAGTTCCACTTTTGACTTTTGGCTAATTTCATCGAAGTGATTCTTTTAGTTAGAAAAACTTTTAGAAGAAACTGGTTCAACGTGGCTTCAGCACTTTCACAATAGAAAGTTCTTTTGAAAGTTAGTTTCTAAACAAAAATAAATGTAACTTCTTTCAAAAGCTCTTCTTTAGGAAGCAAAAACAAAAGTCATGTCAAACAAGCCTTTCATTATTTAAATGGCTATTTGCACATGGCATGCCAAAGCATGTTAACTAGCAGCTGCATGATCACAAATCAGTTTCATCCATCGTGCGCACAAGTTTTTTTCCATTAGTTTGTGAAATGGAGTTGAACAGGGTGAGCAAACCTAAATAATATCAATAGGTCAGTGTCTAAGTTGGAACAAAATGAAGTCTGGGAGCCAACTTGAAACCTTGCTGGTTGACTTACTGTGTATCTTCTTGAGATAGTCTCCTGGGAATATGAGACTGACATTGTAAAGAAACTGTTCAATATTAAAAAGTTCCAAACATTTCTTTACAGTAGTAGAGTCCATCTATTAGAAGGCATCAAGCAGTTTCCCTTGAAAGATAGCCTTTTTGCTCTTAACAGAATGTATTGAAGCTATATGTAGAGGAGCATTTTAGCAGCTATGATGGATAACTACTATATACTTGTAAACTCTATCCTGCATAACCGTTTTGATTTTTCTAAACTGGTGCTTGAAATGTGCTTTGTTGCTATATTGAAATGTCTATCTACCTACTTGTATCTTGGAAAATTTGGATAAATCATCCTTTCATTTATCCATTCATGATGAATACACGTGTATGGAACCATATTTTTCACACTTTAGGTAGTATAAAATTGTCTTTCTTTGTATATTAATGCTGTTTCCATTGTTTAGCAGATGTGGAGATGACTGATGGTGGTAAAACTTCTAAAGCCTTAAAACCAATTGGGAAGAAGCTGAAAAGAAAATCAAGACTGCAAAAAGGAAGAGCCATGGCAAGGGAAAAATCAGAAGGAAGCAGATTGTGTACAACTACCAGTTCTAAATGACCACTTTGGTGCTGTTGACTACACTGTCAACTCGTCTCCTTTAATTATGTTGATCTAGCTTTTGGTTAACCATTTTATTTCTTTCATCTTTTTAGTTCTGAACATTAAGAAACTTGATTAGAAAACTTGTATTGGTTAACAGATCACAAACAAAACCAGTCTTGCAACTTCTTTGAAATTGAAACCATTTAAAGCATCCGGGTGAATGTTGTGCTTGATTCTATCAGGTGATCTTCTGAATTTCATTCTAAACCTATGGAACTGTCACTAGTATTCCTATCGACCCTGCTAAACTTAATTAAGCAATTTGAACTGAAAAATCTGAGCCAAACGGTGCCCTGCCCCAAAGGAGGGGTCCTGCCCAAGATGGCGAATCCCTGCCCCGTGCCGTCCAGCCCGAACTTTCTAATTATTTTTTTAAAAAATATATCAAAATTTGTTTAAAATCACATTTGTTCAATTCTTTGTCCAAATTATTCAAGTCATTAGTTCAATCCCCAAATTACTCTTAAATTTATAGGAAAAAATATAAAAATATATTTGAGGGGTTGGTAGAGTTAAATTCATGCAATTTTTAAAAATCAAAATATGGTCTCGTATTCAAGAGTCAACTCTTGCTTATAAGAAGGGGGAAATTAAGTAGTGCAACTACAATGTAATCTATATTTTTGATATTGATATAAAGGAATCAAAGTCAACTAACATTATTATTGGTTAAGTAATCAACTATCTACCCCTATAAACCAGAATTTGCGTATTGCATGGCCCATTTGACATGATTTTTAAAAAGTTAAAATGAGGTTTTGAGAGCTAAAAGTAGCTTCCAGACCAGTTTGACTAATTTTATGGAAAAAAATTTGCTAGTTAGAAGAGCTTTTAGAGGAAGCTAGTACAATGTGACGTTCTCTAAAAACACTTTTAGAATACGAAGTACTTTTAAAATTTAATTTTCAAACAAAAATTAAGATAGCTTCTTCAAAAAGTTTTTCTAAAAAAAGTAAAAGTGCCAAACAGATTCTTAATACAATAGTCTTATATTCTGAAAATTATAATAATAAATAAAAAAAAATGGAGCATACAATGATACATTGACCAAGTCTAACCAAAGTGAAAGAGAAATTGATTTGCAAGTTTCACGGGACCACTCTTTGGCAACACAAATATCAAAGACTTTGCCCCCCGGGGCACATCCAAGTTGGCAAAGGATGGGCACTGCTGGACTTGCAACCTCAGGGTGGGGAGTTCGATTCCTGGATGGAGCAGCTGAGTGTTGTAATACTCAATTTGGGTGTAAAAAAAAAAATATCAAAGACTTATTGATGTCCGTTTCTTGTTTGATGAAATTGACGTTAGTGAATGAACAATCAAATGGGAAAATAAATATCAATTCATTAATTGCTTGTCTTAATGACCATCATGTTTATAATTAAAAAGTATGTACGTGATGAGACCTGCCCCCACAGTTTTGCTTGCAGATTGGGTTAAAAAAATAATTTCTTTTTTTTTTTAAAGCAAGATCTCACTCCTTGTATCCATTAGTTTTAAAATACGTTTTTCTCTCTTATTTTTAACTACACATTATTCAAAAAAATAATATTACACGTAAACTAAAAATCTTTTCTACATTTTTAACTACACATTCTCTAATAAAATATTATTTCAAAATGCATTTTAAACAAAAAATAGGCTTCACCAGGCGCTTAATATTAGAAAAACAATAGTAAAAAACGAAACATGATTTTTTTATAAATATTAGTTGTGTGGACACTGGTTACCAACTCTCCCTCCTACCAGTCTACCTTAAGATTGAAGAAAATATTATTAAGGTATTTCTTTTTAAATGAAGTTCAAATTTAATCTAATCTATTGAATTTGAGAATGCATCATTCTTCCCACTTGAATTATAGCTCATATATAAGAGCATTAATCAATCATTAATTCCCTCAATTATTATATTTTTGCTTACATATATGTGGAGATATCAAACTTGTCCATAATGTTAAAGTGAAAACAATTTGTTCCAAATTTGACAAAATATCAAAGAGTATTGAGACTTATCAGAAAAGCTAAATTATTAATTAAGGATTTAAAATTATAATTATAATAAAATTTGACAAATTTTTAAAAATGAGCTTACAATGTACATAGTAAAAACTAAAAATTAGACTTACCATTCCAAAAAAAACGAAAAACCGATCATATATTCTAATCAAGACAATGAGAAAAGATGGGGATACATGATGGGAGAAGTTGGTGAAAGAAGAGGATGAAGAAGAGCGAGGTAAAAGAAACACGAGGTTTGGACAGAGATGAGGGACCTCTACAAATTTAAAAATGGGTAGTCCCAATAAAATTAAGCCAACGTTTGGTGGCAATTTTTTTTTTTATTTTTGGAAAAAACATTGTAAAAGTTTCGAGTTTACGGGTAGAATATCTTTCTTTTTTTTTTTATGTGAATTTGGTTAAAAACAAGTAGGTAGATTAGGACGTGTTCGGTCGTGCTTAAAATCCAATTAAAATTGAAAATATAACCGTTATTGGATCTCACTAGTCTAATAAAAGTCAACAATAACGGCTATATTTTCAATTTTAATCCCTCCCATACAAGGCCAAAGTGTATGATTAAAAAGTGAATAAAACCGACACTATTAATTAACAATAATCTTAGAGTTAATGCAATTGTTTTGGGGATTCAAAACGTACTGTAAACCCTTTAGAGCTTGTTTGATAGGGATTTTAATCCAATTAAATTGAAAATATAGTCGTTATTGGGTCTCACCCGTCTAATAAAAGTCAACAATAATGATTAGTTTTTCAATTTTAATTCGATTTTAATCTCTATCGAACACGCTATAAAAGAGCTTTTGAAAAATGGGAGCAAACAGGGACTAGGAATTTTTTACAAATTTTTATCATATGGAACGAAAGCAATTCTTCTTGGATTGTCCTTTATCAAGGGAAAAAATAAAAAATAAAACCTTAAGACTTTTCCAGGGATATGTCAGTTGGAAGTTGCATTCGAGGTAGTTGCTGTGACTCCTTCCAAGTTCCACCTTCGTGTCGTTTCTTTTACGTCATGACTCTTACCAGAAGTATCCAACAAGTGTTAAGAGTAGACCAGAAGCCAAAGTCTACTCTCTCTCTTATCCATGTCGTAACCACTACCTATTCTCTTCCACATTCTTCTCTTTTCTGCACAATCTGAAAACCCCCAGGAAAACTACGGATTTATTCAACTTCGCATCACATGGCTAGTCTGTTCTTGATCGTAGTATCAATTTTACTAAGAAGCGTTGAATCAAGATTTGTCGTGGAAAAAAGCAGTGTTAGTATTCTTTCTCCATACTATTTGAGCTCAAAACATGATGCTGCTATTGGTAACTTTGGGGTGCCTGATTATGGAGGATCAATGGTGGGCACTATTGTTTATCCTCAAAAGGGCTCTATTGGCTGCTCTCCCTTCGATGGTGATAAACCCTTCAAGTCCAAGTCCCCTCGTCCTACTATTCTTCTTCTTGATCGTGGAGGTTCTCTCTTCTCCTCACTTTCTATTTGCTTATAATGATTAATCATTAATGAGTTATGAAGTGCATGGGCGAGTTTTTTTTTTTTTTAATGGAATTGTGATTCTAGTACTTTCGCTGGATGTTTGCTCTTCTGTTCCATTTTTCTTGGGTCCGAAACTTGTTTTTTAGGAAATTGTTAATTAAGTGTGTTCCATTGGTATAATTTTTCCCTGAAAAATTTTAAAATTTTGGATTTTTTGTTCACGTTTGACTTTATTTTACATGGAAATTGTTCGAATTTTTTTTTTTTATAATTGGTTATGAAATTTGTTACCATTGTAAAAAAAAAAGGAAAATGAATTCCCACAAAACAAGGAAAAGGGGCGTGTGGGTGGGGGGTGGGAAAAGATTTTCCATTTTCCATGGAAAATTTAAGGAATCAAACAGGGCCTTAATGGTGATCTTTCTATATTCAATTGATATTCTATATCTTGTACAAAATATGTATTTATAAGCAATATTGGAGGTTTTGTTCTCTTCAAAAATTATCTTCTTCAGCTATGGCATTACGTTTTGTTAGTTCTATTTTTTGTTTATAAGAGTTGTGTAGAAAGAATTCAAAAAACAATTAATTACAATTTGAGTATAATATTACTCATCCAATTCCATTCTGGAAAGTGGCATTTGAAGAAAGTGATCACAGAGTGGGATTGGAGAGTATAAATAAGAAAAAGTATAAGTTGTTCAGATGACTTAATTATTATTTCAATTTCCTTTTTCTAGAATGCTACTTTGCTTTGAAGGTGTGGAATGGGCAGCAGGCAGGTGCTGCAGCAGTTTTAGTGGCTGATAGCATAGATGAGCCTCTTATCACCATGGATTCTCCAGAGGAGAGCTCTGATGCTGATGGGTACATAGAGAAGATTGGAATCCCATCAGCTTTGATTGACCGGTCCTTTGGTGAGACATTGAAAAGTGCCTTAAAGAAAGGCGATGAAGTCGTTATTAAAATAGATTGGACAGAGTCAGTGCCCCATCCAGATCAAAGGGTAGAATATGAATTATGGACCAACAGTAATGATGAATGTGGAATTCGCTGTGATGAGCAGATGAATTTTATAAAGAACTTCAAGGGACATGCTCAAATTCTAGAGAAAGGTGGTTACACACTGTTCACGCCGCACTATATAACTTGGTACTGTCCTCAGGCTTTTATTCTCAGCAATCAATGCAAATCTCAGTGTATAAACCATGGGAGATACTGTGCGCCCGATCCAGAGCAGGACTTTGGAGAGGGGTATCAAGGAAAGGATGTGGTGTTTGAGAATTTAAGACAGCTTTGTGTGCATCGAGTTGCAAATGAAAGTGGTCGCTCGTGGGTTTGGTGGGATTATGTAACAGATTTCCATATCAGATGTTCAATGAAGAAAAAAAAATATAGCAAAGAATGTGCACAGGGGGTCATGAAATCACTCAGTAAGTGTTCTGTTTACAATATGTTACAAATAGATTTATAACTTCAAATGCCCAGTCTTATGGATTTCAATGTCATGTATCAGATTTACCAATTGAGAAAATAGAGAAGTGCATGGGTGAGCCTGAAGCTGATACAGAAAATGAAGTCTTGAAAATTGAGCAAGAAGTTCAGGTTTGTACTTCTATATTGTGACAACTCCAGCCATGTATCACCTCATCCATACTGACGAGATTTGAAAAGAAAAACAGAGAGAGAGAGAGAGAGAGCTTCCTTTTTTTTTCCCTGCAATGATGTTTTTAAATATTTCTAATTAGTACCAATGATCTCAAATACTATATTCCTTTGTCAAATTTAGGTTGGTCGAGGATCACGTGGTGATGTTACCATCTTGCCTACATTGGTCATAAATGATGTTCAGTACAGAGGTTTGTTGTTATTTTCTTAAAGGCTCACATGTCTTCTTGGTGTTGTTCTCAGTTATAATATTACATATCTCAGTATCGTATCATTATTGGAGACGCATTGTAAATGACGTTTTAATAAAATTTCAAGCGATCGTACATATTTTATTTCAAGCGAGCATGTTATAATACTACATCCTATTCGGGAAACAGGAAGATCCCACATATACCTGTCTACTTTCAGACAATGAAAACATTAAACTTAACATTATTCTCAATAAATTTGAGGTCGGCTGCATCCATTTTCACTATTCCATTCTATAGATTGCTTGATCTAGCGGGTGATCTAAAGTAACTAGATCATCAGCAACTACTACTGGACAAGTTAACTAAGGTCTACCTCTCACCTTTTTAGGTCGACGGAAAACATCACCCAATTATCTAAGTCTCCTTCCCTTCATATTAATCTATTTTTGTGAAAAACGCTCATGCATGTGAGCGTGTCTCTCAGTTTCTCCGCGCGTGTATGGGTTGGTTTGGGGGAGGGGGTGTAGTCCGCTCCAGAAACATAAGATGGAAAGATTTAGCTAGTTTCTGTCACACGGCGTCATTATACAATTTGATTCTTTATTTCTATATATATCTTCTGTGTGTATGTGGGTACTCACATGCATTTTTTTCACCTTCCCGTAGGAAAATTGGAGAGGTCCGCTGTATTGAAGGCCATATGCGCTGGGTTTAAGGAAACAACTGATCCTCCAATTTGCCTGAGTGGAGGTTTTGATGTTCACCCTACGCTTTATTAATAAAGATAACGAACTATAAATGCAATTATTTGCTTACTCTTTCTACTGATGATTAGATCTTGAGACCAATGAATGTCTTGAAAGTAATGGTGGTTGTTGGAAGGATCCAAAATCTAATATAACTGCTTGCAAGGTACATAACACAGCATTTGTTTTTATAATGAAGCTTTCGTATAGCATAGGACTCTTTAATATATTAAAAACTACAACCACATTTATTGTTCGTTATTCATGTCTTTATTGAAGGACACATTTAGGGGAAGAGTTTGCCAGTGCCCATTGGTGAATGGCGTTCAATACGCCGGAGATGGATATACATCATGTCAAGGTACATTTTTCCCTATCTTTATGATAATAGTGGATGTTTAGCAGTAACTGCATCTATGCTCAAGGAAATCAAGTTGTGATCTGGCCCTCCTTTCAAGTTCTATGTACTGCCAAGTGAGAAAGACGGGGAGTGTTAACATAAAGCCTTCTATGTATTAAATATCCAAATGACGCCTTCATTCTTTTTCATCGGATAAAAAGTTAATGCTGGTCATTACTGCCTGTTTAAAGTCCAGAAATTCTCACATAAACTGCTATGGGTAAAGTTAGACAAGAAAACAATAATACAGAGAATCAATTTTACAGCAAAGACAAATTATAGTGACAGAAAGCCCCCATGATTGATTTAATCTGGGTAATAATTGCACCAAACACCGAATAAAGATTGAATAAGATTTTTTTTAATCCTTATCTGTATAATACGATGTGCCAAACGTGTCCTAATTGCATTAGGCATTGAATGATGTTGCCTACACAAGCATATGATTTTTGTTTTTCAGCCAAACAGCTTTGTCTCAGTTGAATTTGGACAATGCTATTGAACTAATTTTTGTTTACTAAGCATGACGCCAAATAATTTTTTGCACCTAAGGTTACCATTGCATCCAGGCATTGTACCTCAACTTATGCCACGAAATTCTACTTCATTCTCTTTCATGGATATTTTACATTGTTTTTCAACTTATTTTCACTTTGTAAATGATGAAGATGTTACTTCAATCTGGTTGCCTTTTGTCCTTCATTGGCAGGTGTTGGACCAGGAAGGTGTATGATACACAATGGAGGTTGCTGGTCAGAAACTAGAGATGGAAAAAGATTTTCAGCCTGCTCAGTTCAGTGAAAGCAATCTCTCTTGCATTTTCTTTTTCACGGTTTAGATTTCTCCTTCCCTCTAAAAATATTATTTTTATTGCAAAACAGGAATCTAACCTATCAGGATGCCAATGTCCATTTGGTTTTGAGGGGGATGGTCATAAATGTGAAGGTGCTTCAGTGTTCCCCCTTCGACACTTTGATAACATCGTACATTTATAACTTGATTTTAATGTAATTTTGAATGTTAATATTATATTTCAGTAGTAATGTTGTCTGTTTTTCATTCCAGATGTTGATGAATGCAAAAAAGGTGTTGCCTGTCAATGTGATGGATGCAGTTGTAAGAACACGTGGGGTGGATTCAATTGCAAGTGTAAAGGAGATAAACTGTACATAATGGAGCATGACATGTGTATTGGTAAGACAAACAAATGTTGCAATTTCATCTTGAAGAAGTTACAAAATTATTGAAAGATATAAATATTTGTTTATGGATTGTACAGAAAGGAATAGTTGGAAATTTGGGCGGTTCCTTACCTTCCTGGTCCTAGCCGTTGCAGTGGGTGCTGGTGTTGCTGGTTACATATTCTACAAATATAGACTTCGGGCAAGTAGTCTTGCGAATATTCATTCATTATTTTTTACTTTCATCCTATCTGATTATTTTGTAATATGCAGTCTTATATGGACTCGGAGATAATGGCAATCATGTCACAGTATATGCCACTTGACAGCCACCAAAATCAGGTTGTCCATCACCAAGAAGCTGAGCCTCTACGACAAAGTTCATCATCCGTTTAAGGTTTATCCAGCTAGCAGTCGTCTATTTCTGATGGTATGACTTGGCCATTGAGATCAATTACGCATGTATTGTATACATCTCACACAGAATTTTTATTTTGGCTCTGTATATAAAATGAGGGTACAAGTAAGATATTATTCAGTGCTCCATGAAGAAATAAAATAAGGTGTTGATTATGGACTTAAATTATTTTCATCCTTCTTTTATCCCAATTATCAATTTTAGATCATTCGAATCAATTATTTATATTTTTTTTAGATAAATTGATCTACTAGTGGCCAATTTTGTCAGTTGTTTCGAAAAACGAAAATTGGCAATATGAAAAATAAGAACAAAAACATGAGATTTATGTAGAAATCCAATACAGGAAAAAATCACGGGAAAGACGAGGACTAATTCACTATAAATTACAAAAGACTGGATGATCTCTAGAATTGTAATTACTTCTGATATATATAATACAAAGAAGATTTTGACATATGATGGAGTTCTAATATAACATACCTAACAAAGAAAAGGTTGAACCCAAACCTTGAGGGGGCCCCACCGCTCCGCCCCTATAGATTTGTAGAGGAGAGAAATCGTGGGATGTGTCTCAACAGGTCAGGGTACAAGAGTTGCCATACTAGTGCCCCACAAAGAGTCTAATTTCATACCTTCTAAAAGGTAGAAATTGAACCATCACACTGCGGCTGCCAACTTAGCTAAAACTACCTTACTTATGTCCTTTACACCACTGAACTATGCCCCGAGGGCCACATACCTAACAAAGAATGTAGCGTTTGAAGTTGTTTAGGAAAGAGAAATTGCCAAATTTACGATTAGGATTTTTTTAGATATCACGACTGCTCGAGTGGCTAACGAGTAGTCAATCCATCGGTCAAGGGTTCAACGTGCATTTAGCGAGTGGTAGAGTTATTGCAATTTTTGCTCGAGCGCTCCCTTGACGGTCAACGAGAGGTCTTCACGCAATTTCGTCTCCTTACATATTTGACTTCTTGAACTCCCAACTCCTAATAGAATTCGGGTCACACTCAAACTCTAACAAGAGTTTTAGTCCTTGTGTAATGTTTATTTTTTTAGAAGTGATTTTTTTTTTTTTTTTGGAGAATGTATGATTAAAAATAGGAAAATATTACCGGGTACACATGCAAAATTATTTTGTTGAAAAGATGTGTGGTTTATATTAGTATGAGAAAAAGTGATTTTGAAAGAATCACCTTCAAACGGACTTAAAGCTTCTTCTTTTTATTTGTCAATTAATACACCCACATTTTCTCATTTATCACAATACATAAATTTTTATATTTTTGTAAATAACCTAGGTCTGAGCATTTTAATTGGAACAGAACCGAATTAAAACCCGAACCTGGTTCGATTCCCAAAAAAATAAATTAGGAATCGAAATTGATAATCAATAACCGACTGGGTTCGGTTTTGATTCTTGGTTCCTGAACTAGAATCGTGGGTACTTGAATTGAATCAATTTTTACATAATTTTTTATTTACAATTTATAAGTTAGATAAAAAAAAATACAAAACTTAAAAATTCTAATTTTCATATTAATTAGTTTAAAACTCTAGCCTCTAACACCAAAAATAAGGCAGGCTCCTTTTTTGCCTCTTGCCTCACATCAGATTGTTGCATTTAAGAGATTAGTACACATTGTTGCATTTAAGAGATTAGTACACGTTAATCTTTGCAATTTGACTTTTTATAAATTAAAAAGTTCAAGTTAGGTTGTGGTTAATCAAAACCTTAAATCTTTGCAATTCAAACATTCTACTTTCTTGCATTGTTTATAAACTTAAGTGATTTTTTTTATTTTTTTTTTTTTATGATACATGACAATTGAACTTGATATACTCATAGCTTGGGTTTTGGTGTGCCTTTTTTATTATCTTGAGTTCATGGTTCTCTTTTGAAATATAAATTTCATTTTTTATTCAAACATAACGAGTTTAATATGTGGACTGCAATTTCTTGGTACTTTATAGTTATGTATATAATTAATATTTTTTATGTTGGTTTGTTTTAAGAGTAGAATTTAAGTATTGTGCCATCTATATTATCGCCTTGACAATATGAAAAGATAGCTCAATTGAAAGATACACTTATTTACTTATAAGAGATTTATAAAATCCCACATACCCAGCTATAAAATGCTCCATTTCGTATTAATGCCTTAAAATGACAAATTATTAGTATTATATAAATGATAGGCCTGAAGTTTTATGATATTCGATTCTAAAAAGAAAAACTCTCGAAAAAAAGGGAGCAAATAAAAAAGATGGTCCCAATTAGGAGGTATATATTATTGGAGAGCATGTAGACATAACTAATTATAAAATCTCAGAAGATGTTCAAGAACTTGAAATATTGAAAATGGAGATCTCTCATTAAGTTGTCATTATGAAAAAGAAATAGAATAGAAAAGAAAAAAAATTGTCGACGATACTTTTTTCTGCAAACATGAATTAAAGAGCTTGGGTAAAATGGTCATTCTGCCATAAATTTGTCTAAAATTGCGGCTGATGTGTCGATATTCTGCAAAAAGAGTATGATTTTTGTGAAAAGTAATGGTCTAAACTTTAATTATCAACGGTCCAAATTGTGATTTTAAGTGCGTCCAGACAGGCCCAAAATTCGCAAAGATTTTAGTGGATACAACTATAAGTTCATATGTTATCCTAATAATTGACGATATTTGAAATGCAGTTATAATCAACTCATCTGACATGATTATTAATATTATCCGTGAAATATTTAATATGCATGAATCATATAATTCTAGTGATATTATCATGCTGAAGTAAATACGCGTTATACTCTTTTTTCTTTGACCAAGATTTTGTCCCATTGAATTTTTCCGGTAAAATTTTTATTGAGACAACTTTTGTAGCATACTCAAAAGAATAACCTATTCTTTTTTCTTCGTTATGATTTTTTTCACAGAATTTTTTCTAGTAAAGTTTTAACGAGATATTTTTTTTTTTTTTTTTTTTGTAATGAATGTCTATAACTTACAATATATTTATCATAAAAAAAAATAATCTTATATGTTACAAATTCTGTACATGACTCTTGAAGAGTATAAAAAGATTTGTTTTATTTTCGATTCATCATATTACTACAATCAACGGAGATTGATAAATATTTTGTATAAATATGATAATACTTGAAAACTATAACAATACAACATGAAACATATTTCACCACAATTGTAATGTTGATGACATTGGCGTACAAGACATAGATAACTTGATACAAGGACTTTCATTAGTTAAAATTAGGGGAGTAGTTGTACTATTTTTCTTTCGCTCAAATTTTGTGCTATTGAATTTTTCTTAACAATGTTTTAACTAGACAACATTTTATTTACTCCAATCTTATTATAATTATATGTATTACTTTTTCCTTCATTTGATATTTTTATCCCACTGACTACTGAGTTTTTGTCAAAATAAATTTTTTTAATGAGGCGGTTATTGTGGAAATAGTTATCAAAAGGAAAGTATTGTAAAATTATGAGATATTTTAATGCATATTTAATCTTATTAGATTAAGTCTTATCCACTTTAGAAGAGTTTATTCCAGGGGAAATTTAGCAGCAGTCATTTACATTTCCAATTTTTGCAGACTTTAACCTTCATTCCGTGTCATCGGAGGTTCTAACATTTTATATATCTATACAGCTAGGATCCATATGGACAAAAAAATCGTTCAAAACACCATCAGTTGACCTGAGAATTTAAAAAATGAGGTATTTTGACCATTTTAAAGAAGGACAATTTCGTCCATACAGTATTTCCCCTCATTCACTGTTCAAGTCACCATACATTTCTCTTCATTTCGCTAGATATTTATTCTCCCTCTCTTCCAGTAACTATTAGAAGCTTTTCAGAAAGGAGAAGGAGATTGGGTTCCCCATGGAGATGAAGACTTTATGGACGAACTTGAACCCTAGAAGAGGGTTCATCAGCTGCCCACAACGCCAGGATGCTGGTGGATGTGATTTCTTCGACTGGTGCGACCTACCATGTAAATGTGTGCAAGATTGAAAGAGCTGATCCCTAGATTTCTACGGGTTAGGAGGAAGATGGAAGCTGAAATAAACACCCTCCGGTCAAAAAGTCATAGTGCGTGGAAGACTCGTTTATTGGATTTGTATGTGGAGTTTTTATTAAATGGGTCTGTAACTAGATCTAGATTTGGTTTGAGCTAAGATGTTTTCTATGTTTTAATGTAGGTCTTTGAGTTACAAATCTTGTGGTCTGTGGTCTTTTAACTTATTTTCAAGTAATAAAACATATTATTATTTAGTAATGCTTCGATTTTTTCTTTTTCCTATTTTCCTCTTCTTTACTGCAAATAAATGATCTAAAATAAAAGGGAAATTGTGTTTTCAAAACGTTATGGAGATGTTGAAGCGATGGTCCCAAAAATTTTAAGAAGTCTCGAAGGTAGTCCCAAACATCTTCCATTCGTCGTATCAGAAGTTTCAAACCTTTTAAATCAATTGCTCCAAAAGTCCCAAACCTTTTAATGAGGTTTTTCACTAGTCCTTAAACTTTTGGGAAATTTTTAGACAACGTCTGAACCAATTATGACCATTTTCACACTTGTTTCACTTCCAAAATATACAACATAAAATCGAAAGTATAACACTGAATAAAATGACTGAAATGCTGAACATTCTTTTCATTTTCAATAGGAATATACATCATCAAAAGAGCATTTCAAGACTCAATCAATCTAACATATCAAAAGATCATCACTGTACAAAAATCTAATTAATTTGACATTACAAAAGATCATGGACATTACAAAATAAGTCTAAAATATCAACAGATCATTAGTAAAAGCTAAGTTCTTTTCTCATTGCCCTTCTTTTTTTTTTCTTGTGCATGTGCCTCATTGGATGTATATGCTTTTCTTTTACCTTGTAATGTTGCTGGCTAATTGTTACTTCATATATGCCCGTGAACCGGTTTGAAACTTGCATCCGTAGGCAAGGAAGCTGTGCATTTTCTCTTATTATGGCATGCCCTTTCTTGCAATTTATGTTCCCGAAGGTGACTCAACTTGGAACCTTTTTCTCTTCTTCTTTAGTCTGCATGCCTGTTTCTTTTTTATGGGTAGATCAAGAGAATGTTTACCAAGTTCTGGCCATAACTCAGGACTTGACATTGGTTGGATGATTAGGATGTAGGTCCTGAGATAAGCTTCTTTGGTATAGCATGCATCAACAATATATGCCAATATTCCTAAAAAGCATACCAGAACTGCATAAGCACATGGACTTCCAATAAGTTGCATTTTCTACATGCACATTCTTGTTTTGTCAAGTCCACACTCCATTTTACTCCATCTCTATTGCTGATCTCAAACTTCTCACTATTAGCATAATCTGCCTTCAAGTATCATGCATCTGCCTTGGTTTTTTCAATTATAGTCATAATTTTAGGACCAAAAGCATGATCTCATCTTTGTACTGCTTCCTTTTTTGTATTCATCCTCATTATTAGACAATAATGAGATAATGGGCTTTTTTCTTGCAACAAGTATGAAAGAGTTGAATGCATCACATAAGTTATTAAGTAGGATGTCACACCTTGAATGCTCCTGAAAATGTGATATGGTCCACTATGAGGCTGGTTTCTCATTGAACCACTTGGACATCTTCTTCATTTACTTATTTCATTTCATTCATTGCACTCGTCTACTCTGGCACGGTTGTTGCCCTAATTGCGTCCTAGAACAAACTCTTTAGAGTGAGGCCCTTGTGTACCACGGTGAAGTTGTTGTACAAGTGTTTTGCACAACACCTGTGCTTAGCTCCTTTACATAAGAGATTAATGGAGTCTACCAAATCCTTCTATTTATCAGATATGAAGGTCCAAGCCCTGTTATTATTGTACATCCCAATGTCAACTATCAAAAGTTCTATGAACCAATCTTAATTTATTTTGTTCTCCAATCCCCATAGCCCATGTAACAAGGAACACTCTCCACCAATACCAATAGCAACCAACAATTGCCATATTGTTCACTTATTAAGAAGCATTCATCCAAACCAATCACTAACCTAAACCCAGCCTTAATGCAAGCCCCACAAGCATATGTAACATCTTTTGAATGTAGGCCCTAAACTTTCAATTTAAACTGTACTCCCATGATTTGTTCTTTTGAGCTCCTCACCACGGCCCCACAATATCTTGTACTATTCAACTACAAGACCATTAATGACTTCTAAACATTTTTGATCTTGTCCTATAAAATTGATGCTTTGATATCTCATACATGTACTTCTCCTTCACTGTCTCAATGAAATTGCTCATTGACAATTTTGAATCTGAACTGAACTTACATATGTATTTCTTTGCTAAGTACTCAGGATGAACTCTTTTGTTCTACTACACCATTATGCAAGTATGTTCATCCTTGAATGTGTTAATTCTGAAACTTTTTATCTAGCTATTGGCGGACATATAACTCTCATGGATAGCTATTCTCACACTCGACTCTGAGTCTAGTCATTCTTCACATATCTAATTTGTCTTGCATTTTTCACTAAATATTGTTCCACTGCATCCCTTAGTGTCTTTATGTTGTCAAAGTTTACGCCATCATGGAATAGAGCATGTCAATTGTTTAATTTATCTCATTACTACGTGATAAGACATGAAAGAAGTACGAAAGATCATTACCTATCTAGAATTTTGAATTTTGCATGCAAGATGCAAGGTTAAACCAAATATCATTCCTAGTTCTCGAGAAGGAACCCCAACTTTATAGGAAATGCTACCAAAGCAAGCAATAAATATCTAATGAATTTTAATTAACTCTGTACAATTTCTAAAACGCATATTTCCGTTAATCTGTTAATTATTTATCCCTTGGATTTGCAAAAGTAAATTATAATGTATAATTTTTTTAGTACTATAACAACATTACAAAAAGTGAAATATTTTTAGTGACTGTCCCAAATTAGAGTAGACCATGCTAGAGTTATGACTCCAATTTAAATGTCCTGGATAATAAGTTAAATGAAATGTGTAAGTAGATGACTTATTTAATTTTATCTATAATTTAATGTCACATTAGCGTCATCTAAATTGAGATTGTAACCCTAATGGAACTAAATAACATTGCTGTAAATTTTAATGAATCATCCTACTTGTACAATTTCATTGGACAATTTTGACTGGCAATGTATCCTTGACAACGTTACATTCATCAATTTCTAAAATTATTTTTAAAATTAATGATTCGAATTTTGACATCATCAAAATTGTCTACTATACAAATAGGTTAATTCAATTTTATTTAGTTCCGTATATTAGCATCAACGGCCGATAGAAGGAAAGCTTGAAGCCTTGAAATAGAACTGGGGGCAGGATACTGGACTGGATAACCTTTCCCTTCACCGACGCAACGGGGCACGAAACAATCTATTAGAGTCTGTCTCAATTCGCGCATGGCTGTTTCTTTTCTTCAGCAACCATCCTATTTCACCTTCATTAATCACCGGCAGGTGGCTACTCTCTCTCCCTCTCCCTCTCCCTCTCCAACTCAACCCCTTCTTTCCCCCTCTTATTCCTTTTTCTTTTCTTAACATGAGCTAGATTGGCGGTTGATTAGTTATTTTCTTGCAGCTATTATGGAAAAATCTGCAGCAAAAGCCCATTAATTTGTCTAGTACCAGAAACAGACCCATAAAATCTCCAACTGCTGCTTTGGCTACAGATGAAGAGACCTCTGCTGATGTGTCATTCCCATTCTTTCAACCCTCTTCCTCTCCCCAACACACTCCTGCTTCCAAGGTATCTATCTGTATCTACTATAATTTTGTCATTTTACCTTATTTTGGTGATGAATATTGTATGCAGTTTGATTCTGTATTTCGCCAATAAAAGCTTATTCTCTTCTGTTAAGTTAAAACTCAATTGCCTTATCCTATCCGAGTTTGAGCTACTTTATGTGAGTTCCTGAGTTCTTGACTTCACAAGGTTTCTTTATGTTCCATGATTGCATTTTTACCGTTATTCTTTTCGTTATTTTGTTGATAAGTTGGATAAATAAAAGTTTGCTGCGTTAATTTGAGCTTGGAATTTGGAATGTTATCTGCCAGTATTTTTACCGTCGTTTAGAATTACCAGTAAAGAAAATTAAAAATGGAATTGGTTCTAAAGTCCATTTCCTATATTTTTAGATTTTATACACAGCAGATTGAATTTTATTAGGAAAAGAATCTTTTTTTTTTTTGGGCGAGAGCTGTTTGTATGGGAGTATTTGTATTACGTTATCTATCAGTTCATTTAATGGTTCTACTGTCTTTATGTAACTTATACGAAGAAGAAATAGTAACCCTCACATCATGTCTGAACACAGTTAGAGCCTGCAGACCCAGATTTCTACAAGATAGGTTATGTTAGAAGTATGCGAGCTTATGGAATTGAATTCAGAGAAGGTCCTGATGGGTTTGGAGTATATGCTTCCAAAGATGTTGAGCCTCTTCGTCGAGCTAGGGTACGTTCTGCTTTTACTGTGCATAAGCAACTAATTTTATACAATATAAATGTTTGTTTACACAGTATTATCTTTATGATATGTTTCTTTTTGTATTGTTTACACTTTACAATATGGAACTCAAAAGTTCCAGTTCGGTTGCCCATGCTCAATTATGACCATCCATAGTGTTTCGGCTGTGCAGGTGATCATGGAGATTCCATTAGAATTGATGTTAACAATAAGTCAGAAACTTCCTTGGATGTTTTTTCCAGATATTATACCACTCGGCCATCCTATATTTGATATTATCAACTCTACCAATCCCGAGGTAAATGTGTGATCATATATCTTGTTTTCTGTGTGATGACTTCTCATCTTTGTGTTGACAAAAAAATTATTGTCTGTCTATATCTTTTTTTCTGTGTGATGACAACAAAAAAATTATTCTCTATCTTCCATTCGTTGTTCTTTCTTTTTTGAAGTATTTTGGGGCTTCTTAACCAGTTCATCTGTCTAATCAGTCATGCTAATTTAGCATTTTTACCTATATGTCTTACATGGCAGACAGATTGGGACCTGAGGTTGGCATGTCTTCTTTTATATGCGTTTGATTGCAAGCATAATTTTTGGCAGCTGTATGGTGACTTTTTACCCAGTGCTGATGAATGCTCTAGCTTGCTTCTAGCTACAGAGGTCCGCATCTGAGTATAGCACTATATACTGTTTTATGGTACTGTCTAAAGCATACTTTTAGCATCATTATTCTTCCAGTTGGCTTGTAAGAGTCATTGTGCTACTGAATGGTCAACCTCAATTCATGCTTGCATTTCAAAGGTATGTTGTATGGAAAGGGATCAAAGCAGAATATTTTGGCAATCTAAAGCTCAATGAGTACATAGCATTAATGTCTCAAGTTATATGTAACAAAATTATGGGATAAAAAGAAAAGTTTTTTGTAGCAAGTTGAAGTACGAACTTGTAATCCATAAACTACTACGGTCATTCATTACATTTGAAAATTTGCCTCATACTGGAGTAATTATTTATAATGAGTACTTTAAGTTGTTGTCCCTACCATACAAGGTTGGAAAGGATATATCCAGCATGATATTTCACGTTGTTGATTTTCTTTGTAAAACGAGCAAGGAGATAGAACTGCAGTTGGAGCCTTTTGTTATTTTCTAGTATCATGATATCCTTTTATCTGGCTCTGACTCCTAAAATATTTATTTTTCACTTTTCCCATGGGATGTCCATTTATCTTTGAGGTCTTCTACTTCAAGTAATTGAAGTAGGTAATTGATTGTGGAGACCATATCTGGAGCTTGCTTAATCATATGGTCTTCCACTTGAGTGTCAAGTTTTGTAGGTCGTCACTTGCTCTATTCTTTTTAAATTCTACAATTTCAAACTCTTCCACCATTTAATCTTCTTCCTGGCTTTTTTGGCCTTGTTTTGTTGCCTGAGATGCTTGCTTTTCTCTGTGTTTTCCACACACAATAGGAGGACCTTTTGGAGCTGCAGGATCATAATCTTGCTTCCACCATAAGAGAACAGCAAAAACGAGCATTAGAATTTTGGGAAAAAAATTGGGTAATATGAAACCTATTTTATGCTTCCAAATCTACTCTCTACTATTGTCTAAGTCTGGACTTTTTTTCACTTAGATAACCTGTTGCTTAATTTTAATACTGTCTTAATGACAGCATTCTGCTGTGCCCCTTAAAATAAAACGCCTTGCTCGAGAACCAGAGAGATTCTTTTGGGCATTGAGCATGGCGCAATCTCGATGTATCAACAAGCAAATAAGAATTGGTGCCCTTGTTCAAGATGCAAATATGCTTGTTCCTTACGCTGGTGAGCCTTTCTGTATTCATTTTTTTCTACGTTTCTTTACTTCTGTTCAGTGTCTCTGGCAAATAGATCATGGACTCTGGTGAAAGAGATTCTAGGGCCTGAATATACTAAATTAGTGCAATCTTTGATAATTTTGCACTTCTTTTTGCAATTTGCGATAATAGTTATATCAACAAGACCAACGGATATTAGAGTTTTATTCCGTGCAAGATGAGACAACAGAAAATATCATTTATAAAGGCCTAAAGATCATCAACCAGTTTTCAATTCATTTGGCTTCTACATTTAGGAACGATGAAATTCAGTAATACAGTTGCACAAGTTGTACTACTGCAATTTGATGAACAGAGGATCTTGGCTACCTTACAATAGTTCATTGATTGAATATTCTTTTTCTTATTTTTTTAGATATGCTGAATCATTCCTTTCAGCCGAATTGCTTCTTTCATTGGCGTTTCAAGGACCGTATGCTTGAGGTGATGATAAATGCTGGGCAACGAATCAGAAAAGGAGATGAGGTAATAATAATATGTTGGTTTTCTACATCAAGTTCTTTTTATACAAAGTAGGACACCGTGCTACCATTAAACAAAACATTGAAGTTATGTTGCTCGCTGAATGTCGATAATTGACATTTATGTTTGATATAGTTATGAAACCACATTAAGTGCATTACTAGCTACAGCCACGCATTCTTACTTTACGAGGCCGCCGTTTGGGCTCCATTTTAGAAAAAATGCATTTTTCTCTTTCTTATTTTTCAACAACGCATTTTTCAATAAAATAATATTACACGTAAACCCAAAACTTTTTCTTATTTCTTAATCACATATTCTCCAAAAAATCACTTTTCCAAAATAATTTTTTCTCAAAAATCTATTTTTAATGGAGCCCAAATAGGAGCAAGATGTACATATTTCTGTACTCCAATAAGCATCCTTCTCCAGGACAGATCTCTTCTTTTGGGATCTAGGTGCATCCTTTTGTGAACTTCTTACTTTTGTCCAAGGGAAATAGCACTACTGTTAGCTGTCACAAAGCTTTCTATTGTCTCTGTAACATGGAAAATCCTTGTATCTACCCCAGGATAAGCATGAAGTCAAAAAATGCAAAGCACAACATGCTTTTGAAAAATACAAATAATGACATACTAACAGAAACAAAATATTAAAAGACAGACCAACAACAATTGGAAATAATGGAATAAATTTTGGAAGGAAGCTATTTTTATTTTATTTTGATTATTATTTTTTTTAAACAAAACATCAACACAACCTTAGCGGGTTTTTAGACGCCACTAGGAAAGGCTGATAGGGGTTTGGATTCTCCAACCGTATATATAAAATACAAACCACGAGAACAAGAGGAAGGGGTGCGTAAACCCGACCTCCCAAAAGCAAAAAGATGCAACATACAAAGGGATGTAATAAGAGGGGAAGTACTACTTCCAATTCAAAATGAGCAAATGAAAACTCAAACTAGCATTCTCTAATACTAGAAAGTCCATATATCTTTATGTACAAGAGCTCGAAGACGTGGTGGTAGGTCAAGGGGACCGTATTCCTGATAATGGCGTTGATCTCACCTCTCAAATGCAAGTGAATCGGCTACCTTGTTCCCCTCTCGATAAGTGTGGGAAACAGTATCATGATCAATAGAGAAATTGTGTCTCATCTGTCTAAGAATAATTTGAATTGCCCATGGTCTTCCGCCTCTAGTAATGCAGTGAATGGCCACATGGTTGGATGTAATCTTAATTCTGTTGAGCCTCTTCAATGTGAATATTTCTTGGAAACATATATCTAGCTCTCTGGGTTGCTTTAAGCAAGCAAAGTGCAATTTATTTTGTTCTGATACTTTGTCATTTTCATTATCACGATACTTATGCTGTTGTGGTATCTATGTAGATGACAGTCAACTACATGGTTGGACAGAAGAATAGCTTTTTCATGAAAAGATACGGTTTTTCTTCATCTGTGGTAATTTTCTCTCGGCAGATTCTTCTCAAGTAAAGTTTAGAGCTGCCCTAGTTTTGGTTCTTTAGCACCTTTGACAATTAGGACTTATCTACATCTCATAAAACTAAAATTATTCTAAAACCGCTTCACCTGTCAAAATTAGTTTGTGTGTGTGTATTTTTTTTCTTTAGAGGGTATAATTATGTCTTCATAACGAACGCCTCTTTATTGGGTAATAAATATATTGCTGCAAAAGATTAAGAAGCACTGTGCAGAAAACTTGGTCATCATACTTACGAAAGAAGATATGATAGGAGTTTCCAAGGATCTACATGTTGCATGTGACTTATGGGAGGAAAATATAACGAGAGGGGAAAAATTGATTTGGCATCTCAACCTTCGTCTCTAATGAAATTTATATATTGTACCTCTGTCTATAATCAAGACAATGCATAGTTTAGGGATTGTCAATTTTTGCTTCTTGTAGTTGGTATTTTTCTCCCCTAGTAATATTTCTTTGGATTCGAACCCTCTCATATCTGACATGAATATTACAGAATCCTTGGGATGTAATCCACTTCTCAGGCAGCACACAGATTCATTTGGATTCGTTCTTATCTGTCTTCAATATATCGGGCCTTCCTGAAGAATATTACCACAACAGTAATTTCACATAAACCTTCCTTTCTTGCCTTTTGACGCGTAACATATACTGCTGAATTGAATTTAGTTTGTTATTAATTTCATAAAATTTAGACAATATCTCAAAGCAGGTAAACTGTCAAATGACGAAGACAGCTTTGTTGACGGGGCAGTCATAGCAGCTGCAAGAACATTGCCGACTTGGTCAGATTGGGACATCCCTCCTATACCAAGCATGGAGAGGAAAGCCGTGAAGGTGTTACAAGAAGAATGCCAACAATTGCTTGCAAGATTCCCTACAACTGCAGGGCAAGACCAGCAAATCCTCGGTAAATTTCATTTGATAGATTTGAGTGTCAACAATGCTTAAGCTGCAGGAGAATTGTTTCACGCTTTCATTGTTTTGGTCAACAGAGGCCATGCCTGAAGCTAGGAGGACGCTTGAAGCTGCAGTAAAGTATGTAGTCTTACATAAACAGATTGCATGTAATGCATCACAATTGAACCAGCAATCGTATCCACCACACTTAAAATGTTCTTTTTTGCAGGTATAGATTACACCGGAAACTATTCATAGAGAAGATTATCCAGGCGTTAGATATTTATCAAGATCGAATGTTGTTCTAGTAAATAGTAAACTGACACGTGGAAAGATTTCTGACAACGAAGTTCGGAGCATGCGAGGCTGATTAAGGGATGTGGTACATGTTAGAATTTTCAAGAACTTTAAAACCTAATTATTATATTGTCAAAATCCTCTAGTCAAATGATAAAGAGAATTATTAAATGTGGAACATACCTTAATTTATTGAGAATGTTCCTTTAATACTGGATTTTGATTCAGAATATTGAATATTGACTCTTTTGATTCTTAAGTTCATAATCTTGATTTTGGCTTCTTGCTTCATAATCTTGATTGTCTCAATTTCTTCTTGATTGTTGATTTCACTTTCTTGATCGTGAATTTTAGATCTTCCTCTTTAATATGTTCTTTTGTATTCTTGTATTGGTGATATGACACAAAGAATGAGATCACATATGAATTGTGGACTATAACCCTATTTATATTTTGGAAAAAATTCATATTTAAGATCTACCCTACATACCATTTCAAAAATAAGATAACAACTTTGAAATTTCTAAAATCAGATACAACTAATCGTTTCGACGATTTCTCCGATTTCGGCTACTATTTCGATGACCGTTTCGGCGACTGCTCCGATTCGGGCGACTATTTCGGTGACCTATTTCGGCGACTATTATAGGGTCACAGTTAAAAAATTTTGTAAGTCACAATTAATTCGTTGGTCACAGATTTCAAAATTAGTTGGTCACATATCAAAATTTATAGGTCACACGGTCACAGATTTCTAAATTAGTTGGTCATAAATTTTTTCACGGTCACAGATTATATAATTTTTAGGTCACAGATAACAAAATTGTTGGTCACAGATTATATTTTTAATCATGGATTATCGAATTTTAAGGTCACAGATTATATGTTTAGTCACAGAAGGTCACATGAACACAGATTTCCAAATTATTTAGTCACGGATTTTTTTATGGTCACAAATTATATAATTTTTAGGTCATAAATAACAAAATGGCTGGTCACGAATTATATTTTTAGTCACAGGTTATCGAATTTTAAGATCACAGATTAAATTTTTAGTCACAGAAAACCAAAATGACCAGATCCACCACCACCATCTCTGTAGTATCCACACTGCCACCACCTAACGATCTGAAAACCACAATCAGAAACAAAAACCAAAACACCGGCATCACACCTCCACCACCTCGCGATCTGAAAACCACAAACAAAAAAGGAAACACAAACCACAATTGTCACTTTAGAAAACCACAATCGCCAAAGACAACAAGGAAACAACACACATCGTACAGATCCACCACCGCACGTCGCAAAGACCCACCACCGCCGCATACCACCACCATACCACACCACACACGACACCACCCCACGACACACCACCACGACCATACCCAACCACCACCTCAACACAGATCCACCGCCACAACCACACAGCACCACCACCGAGATTGTGGTGGTACAGTATGAACAACAGTGAGCTCAAGTGCCGCGGGAGGTTATTTTTGGGATTGTGGACGTATAGGGTGCCGACATGAGACTGTGGCCGACAGCGGGCGGGGCAGTAATGGTTGTGGTCTGCCAACGCTGACTCAGTAGCTTGGATTTCGAGACTTACCGGGATAGGTGGAAGTCGACTGTAGACGGTGATGATCGACGGAGGTTGCGACAGCGACGATGGGTATTGTCGCGAAGGGAAACAGAGTGGGTGAGCAGCGGCGGGTTGTTGATGACATGACTTAGATGAGAGAAGGGAGATGAAGATAGACGGGAGCAGATGTGGCGGCTCAGTGGAAGAGACGCTCCTTCCACGCCGCCGAGAGAGAGAGATACGGGGGGTGAGGGAGAAATGAGAAATTAGGGATTTAAGGTGGGGTGGGTGGAGTATATATAAATTATTTTTATAATATTATTATTAATATTTAATTATATATATTGAATCTTGAAAAGTAGGGTTTCATATAATTACCACTTATATTTTCATATGTATTCGGCTCGTCAAAAACAATCCTAATAAATTCAGTCTCTATACATATAATCCGACTCACACTTTATTGAGATGCTCAAAGTTCAACTATTTAATTTTTTATTAAATCACTTTAAGTTTGAGATTAACTTTAAATATCTTTTATACACGGTTCATTACATATATCGGCCCACATGGCAAATTATATTTTTCCAACAATTTGTCACTCGGGTCGTATATATTACCTTATTAATATGTATAATCTTATGAGCTCGACTTTTGCTATCATAACGAAAAAACATCTCCGAACAATCGTGTCATCAATTATGATAATATAGGATTAAAGCGGTTTTCGTTACAAGTATTAACTAAACCCTCAATGATCACTTATATTAACACAATCAAATGACATAGATCAAGTGTGGATATATAGCATGGAAATTATATGCAATGAGATCCAAATATGCATATTTTCAATTGGTTCTACAATATTCTTTAATGAGATCAAACTCAAAACTTTAATTAGAGTGAAACTAAATGTAATACTTTATTTTTGCAGAGTAACCTAAATATCTATAAACATAAGATGTGTCTGAATCAAACAACAGCCAAATATAAACTCCCACTAAACTGTCATATTATCAAGAGATGCAACATGCATATGAGCAATATGCTCATGAAAGACTTTGGATGGTAGTTTTTTACTAAAAGGATTCCCAATCATAGAATTTGTCCTAACATGCTCTATAAAAATCTAACAACTCTTAATTCTTTCCTGAACACCTAAGAACTTGATGTCTATAAACTTTAACATTGTCAACTCCTATTGGAATACAAGACTGCTATTGTTACGGAATAACTTAAGTGGTTTTTCAATTCCATCCAAAATAAGCAGCTTTATGACAATGACGCAATCATATTCCATAATCAAAACATCAAATGATCTCCAGATGGTCTGATTTCCGGTATGCAATCATATAATCATTAGTTCTCTATAGACACTAAAAAACCTGATTAGCTGGTTTCCAAATATCCATTTCAGAGTTTTTTAAATATTTGCCTAGCATTTCAACAATGAATGTTATATCCAAATGTGTGCAAACCTAAGCGTACATTAAATTCTCAACTATTGAAGCAAAGAGGATTTTCTGTATTTTCTTTTCTTTAAATTTATCGTCATGGCATTGATTGAGACTAAACTTGTCTCCCTTAGCAATAGAAGTATCACCTTGTGTACATACATGCATTTCAAATCTTTTAAGAACCTTATTGATATAGCTCTTTTGTGGTAATCTAAAAAAATACCTCGAGAACAATATCGGTGTATCTGTATCCTTAACATAAAAGTGGGGTCACCAAGATTTTTCATTTCAAAATTTCATGATAAAAATTGCTTAGTTTCGTGTAATAAGCCTATATCATTGTAGGCAAGTAGTATGCCATCGACATATAATAGTAAGAAAATATGTTTACTCCCACTGAACTTGTGATATACATAATCATCAACTGAATTCATTTCAAAATGAAACGAGATAATTATTTGATGAAATTTGTGATACCATTAACGGGAAGCTTGCTGAAACCCATTGATGAAATTCTTTAATTTGTAAACCATAAGATGTAGCTCAATGTCAAAATGTGTCACAAGTGCCATAATAGTCCTAAAAGAGCCTTTCATAGAAATCAGAGAGAGTCTCTTTAATGTCAATATCTTCCTTTTGAGTAATGTCATTTACAATAAGACGAACTTTATATCTCTCCACACCACTCTTCGAATCTCTCTTGGTTTTAAATATCCATATACAACTAATGGGCTTCGTACCTTCAGATAATGGGACGAGTTCCAAAATGTCATTGTCTTTCATGGACTTTGTCTTTTTATTTATGGTATCAATCCACTCTTTAGAATTATTTCTTTGCTTGGCTTAATGAAAGTTCATTGATCAAATCTTCCATCAATCCAATGCCATCAACATGTTTTTGGAGAAAGACTAGAAGGTCATTTGGAATTGCCATTTTCATTTCTCTAGTGGATTTCCTTAATGGCATTTGTTCTTGAGGTTATTGAATGTTGAGTTTGTTTTTCTAGAACAATCACTTGATTGTGTGTAGAAGATTTTGCAATATTTTCGTGATTCAAAATTATTTTTTGAACAAGATCTGGAGTAAGAATTTGTTTTTGATCATAATCATTGTCAATTGCACTAGAAGAGATATATATTCTTTTTCAAAGACAAAATCCTTAACCTAAAAACCTTGTCTCTCCCGTAAACTCTACATCCTTAAAGAATCGAACATTTCTTGTTTCCAAAATTGACCATTAAGTGAGATTTTTTAAAAAAATTGTAACCCCTTAATAGTTGCTTTACTTGGAACTTTATTGAGAATTTAAACTACAGTCTTTAGTGCTTCTTCCTAGAGAGATTTTGACAATGTGAAATGATTAATTATACTATTTACCATGTCCTTAAACGTTCTGTTTCATCTCTTAGTAACACCTTTCATGCTAGGGAACCCTGACGTGGTGTACCGTGGACGATTTCACATTCTTCTAGGAATTTTGCAAAAGACCCTAGATATTGTTCACATGCAATGTTTTCAGTGGAACTCTCATCTCTAAGAGTAGTGGGCTGTTCAGACCTTAATGCAAGGTCTAGATCCATGTCGCCAAGAACGATATAAACGTTGTCTTTCCAACCTTTAAACTTTGCTTCAAACACATGAATTGAATTGAAGTCGGCAGATACTGCAAAAGTGGATGGATTAATTGAATAAAGAACTTAAACCTAATTAACATGTTAAAATGGAAATCAGTATTCAGCAATCGATAAATTCAATAATGTTGGGCCATATCATGAGAGACCAAGCACAACATTGACATTTAATTTTTGGACATAAATATCAACTTGTAATTATTACTCTTGCTGTAGTAATCATGATATGATCCGGGACAGACAATACATAAAAGATACGAGTTTCCTTTTTCGCGGGTTTCCTTATTTCATTAGAAATCTATTTTTATCGCAATCTTTTGCAATCTTAACAAGTTAT